TACTCTTCGATTTCCATAATCAGCAATGATGATTGAATTAGTTTGTTCATTAACAATCACATCCGTTGGTCGATCCAATTGATTCAAACTGTTTCCTCTTCCGCTTCCACCAGCCACAATTGTTCCTCGATTTTCGTTTCTTTTCCATCGAACAATTCGATCATTCGCGAAATCCGCAATGAAAATATTTTGATGTTTGTCGATGAATATTCCACTAGGATTTGAAAGTTGATATAATTCTTCTCCTTCTCCATTTCCTCCACAGATTGTCGATCCATTTCGTCTCCATTTCCTCCAAATTAATTCTAAACAAAGAAAAACGAATTCAAATAGATTTTGAAAGAAAAGGAAAAGATATTCATTTGTTGATTTAATTAAAATGAGAAACAAATTGACGATTTCGTTTAATGAAGATTGTGAACTTTTCTTCGTTAATTTTCTTTTTCTCTAAAAACTCAATTTTCTTCTTCATCTTTCATCGTCTCATCAAAATTCAATTCGATGCAAAATCTCAAAAACAAAGACAACAAATTTCTCACGAATTCTCTCAAAATCAACTCACCTAATCATTTGAAATTATTCGAATCTACGAAGAATTTTTGTGTTTTTCTGCCGAGTTTCGAGATTTTTTCAAATTTATTCCAATGAGAATTTTTCTTCAAATCTATTTTCATTTCATTCAAAATCTTCAGAATTCTCTTATCTTTCAAATTGTTCACATACTTTGAGTAACTCTTTTCGAGAGTTTTTCGATGAATATTTGTGAATTTTCCTTTGAATTCATTTCCAGTTGATTTTCCGATTGTTTTTTCATTTTCATTAATTGATCTTTAAAATAATTCAAATCCAATTCATTAAATTCATTTTCTTTTTGAACTTTTGTCAATTTTCCTGCTATTTCATCAAATTTTCTCTTTAATTTATCGAAATCTTCTCCTTTTTCGATTAAAATATTTCGATATTGTTGAGCTGTTTGTTGAATAATTTCGATCGAATTCTTTTCCCATTGATCAATTTGTTTCATCGAGGAAGAAACGAATTGTTTTTGATTGATTTCATCTTTAAATTGATTATAATCATTGATAATCTTGTTGAAATCTTCATTTAAACTCTGCAGATGTTCATTTAAATGTAATAAACAAAACTCTTTGAAACAACCTCGACAAGGATAAATTATTTTGTCTCTGTTACAAACGAAACATTGTTTTTTGTTATTTGCCATTGCCATTGTGGATGAAACGAGATGTTTTTGTGAAGCAGTCGTCTAAATTATTCGAGATAAAAAGATAAATTCGGAGTCAAAGTCAATAAAATCCAGAACGTGATGTGTTGAAAGAGAAAATTCCTTTCCGTTGAGAAAAGTAAAATTGTTTTGAGTGTTGAAGTGACGTCATAGGCCTCTAACACTCGGTATTATCATTTTTTACCACGTTACTCGTCCTGCATAATTATCTTAATAAGCGAAAGTGATGCTCTTTTGTTAATAACTACAGACATCTTTGATGAATTATGATGGAAACGAAGCTTTATCATAACAAAAAGAAACATATTAAAAACTCGGAGAACAGTTGATAGTTTTTGGACGGTGTAATGAACATTTCTGCTATTTTTGGCTTCTTTTTCTATTGGATTTGATATAAACTATCGTCCAAACTTTTCTTTTTCTGAGAAGAACATTTGAATCAATTAGGAAGATTTTTCCAGTGTAATTTTGTCAAATTTCCGATGAATCGAAATGATAATATTTGGATTTTTATCAACAAATATTCCAATAGGACATGATACAATTGATCTTTCCTTTTACGTATACTTCTCTACCTCAATATGCGTTGTATTCGTTATATTATCCTCGATGTATAATCTTAGAGGCATATAATCATTACAAGTTCATCTGGTTCTGAGGGGAAAACGTTCCTCCGTTCGTAAACAACCAGCGGCTATTGTAGTTATTACTCATCTTGAAAGAGTTATTTGTTTTTAGGATGGATTTGATCGCATTGGCAGCAGAAAAATCAATAGTTACTCCGTTATCTTCACTCCACACTCTTCTCTGAAGCGACTTTTGTTTCTGAACAGAAGAACATTTTCTTTGATGAAACAATCGGCATATTTTTCATTGGAAAATAAAACTCATTCTCGTTTATTTAATGAAACCTGAGCTTCCCGATCAAATAGATCGATCTCTTTTGACGTCCATGAAGATTTTATTTGTTTTAATTGTTTATGCACGTTACATAAACGTATACTTTAATTACTTTCTCGATGGTTATTTGTCTTCTTTTAAATATTAAATCTGTCGAAGAAAAAGAAGTTAGAA